AATGTGGACCTCGCACGTAACCAGACTAGCTATGGCACTGCAATGTGCACAAAGGTCGGCAGCTACACACTTGAGGCGGAGGACACAACTTGAGGCCGTAAACAAAGCAAACACATGAACGGCTATGGATGTCTCAGGCTGACGCGAAACATCGTATCCACAAACCTTGATGTTGAGGTGCTGTCATCCTCTCCTTGTCCTCACTGAATTCAGGTGCGGTTGCAAGATGGCCGGTTTCGAGCGGCGCATGTGTTTTGCGGCGCTGGTGTGCACCTATGCACACGTGACGACTGCGCCATAGGCGCGACTAGTGACACTAGATGCGACCCTGTCTCTGATATAACAATACGAGCAAAACCAAAGCTGCTGGAAACTGGCTGAGAAGGCCATCTTGACACTTTAAACATGCGGCGGACAATCGGAAACATTTTTTGTAGAATAAATTTTCCCTGACTCCTAGCAACAACTGTCTATCGAATAGATGGCATAGATTTTTGGCAATTACTACTGCTAAATATTATCAAATTGTGAAGCTGACACTTTAATTCGATGTTTGGTTTGCAAAGGTTCCTTTCATAACATAACTTCGATGTTTATGCGGTATAATCTCGAGGGGCACGCACTTTTCTCAGGTTCGCCAGTCTATACCGCACTTTTATACAACAATAAACGCACATTAATTCGCGCAAAAGTCTGTTAAAATCATCTTGTTGCCCACACGGGCAAATTCAAATTGATTCTGAAAGTTGAGTGGCTGGAATAACTATACTATAGAAAGTGCTCGGTGCACGAGAAACAAATTTAGCATGCTTAAATCGATGATCCAAAGCATCTATCACCGGTGATCGATTTGAATAGTCGTGGTAACGAAACAGTTATTATATGCCGCAAACAACGCTCAATATCCAACACGTGTGCCAGATAATTTTGCGAATCGACCAGGAATCACCTCAAAGGAAGCAGTCTTCCGAATTTCAATAGGATACACTATACCAACTAAAAACGTAGCGTTTGCTGGTAAACAAGCCTCAATTTGATTGATTGATTGATTGATTTGTGGGGTTCCAAAACCACCATATGATTATGAGAGACGCCGTAGTGGAGGGTTCCGGAAATTTCGACCACCTGGGCTTCTTTAACGTGCACCCAAATCTGAGCACACGGGCCTACAACATTTCCGCCTCCATCGGAAATGCAGCCACGGTAAACAAGCCTCAAAATACACCGAACATATAGAGCGGGATATCACCTAAAATGACTGCCGCTGGCCTATAGGTGCCCCGCCACGGTGGTCTAGTGGCTAAGGTACTCGGCTGCTGACCCGCAGGTCGCGGGTTCGAATCCCGGCTGCGGCGGCTGCATTTCCGATGGAGGCGGAAATGTTGTAGGCCCGTGTGCTCAGATTTGGGTGCACGTTAAAGAACCCCAGGTGGTCGAAATTCTTGGAGCCCTCCACTACGGCGTCTCTCATAATCATATGGTGGTTTTGGGACGTTAAACCGCACATATCAATCAATCAATCAATCAATCAATGGCCTATAGGTGCGCGCTGTGTCGTGCGCACCACAACCGATGAGAGCGCCTCGTGTGTACACGCTCGCGGTAGGATTCGGCGCAGCCGCCTGTTCGCATACGAACAGTTAATTCATACACGCAGCCATCGCATGGGAAACACCACTTCCCATAAGAGTGAGAAAACAGACAGTTATTACCACACTCGCGAGCCGCTTGCATCCGTCAACTTCCCTCCTCACACTTTCCTTAACTAAAAACACACTCGCTATGATGGTTCTTGACTCGGTGCACCGTGTACACGGTTATCTTATACGTGTTCCTGCACAAACCTGTTCTACATAAATAGGCAGGAAATGTCGGTACGACTTCCGACATATACGTTGTTATCTTCGCTCGTTAAGAACCATTCGTTTTTACTACTAGCGGTAGTAACCTTTCACTTTGACCGATGACCTCGTGAGAAAGTCAATTCACGCTGTTTAATCCCTAGAACAACAGTCCACCACGGGCCACGCAAAGAGCATAAATTAGAACATCCGCGAAGTTCTTTAGGCAACACTTATAAGCACAGGGCATGCTCAGCGTGGAAACTTGAGAACAATGAGACTGCGCGTACACGCACAATAACAAGGAGGAAGCACAATAGAATTGCTGCAGGTCTCGCACATTGATGATGCACTGTGAAGCCGCACAGAAATGACCCATTTTGCGTGTAATCGTTCCTGCATTACGTTAGTCATAAAGACGAGTCATTAGGCGGAAAAATTAGCCTTTCTTTGGCATGAAAACAAACAGACAAAAATGCGGCACACTGTCAACAGCTTGTCAGTGTCACCACAAGCATACTGACAGTTGGGACGCACGACCAACCTAAGCACCTCCAGTAACACAATTAAGAACCTGCGCTCGCAAGCACAGACGTAAGAATACCGATAGGTTCTTCCGGACCAGGACGGCGTCAGCGGGTGATATGGAGGAGGCGGGCCACTGGAGCTTGTCCGAATTTCCGCCCCCCCCCTGCCCCACGAAAAGGGAGAATAGTCAAACCACAGCGCGTAAGTTGCAAGCTTCCCTGCCCAAGGAACTCCTTGTCGTGAATGCCCCCCCCCCCCCTTCCACCCTGTTAGCAGGGCGCCCCCTGTTCGATGACACTTTTTCCATACCGCCTGTGCTCTACACCTGCGACTTTCCTTCTCTCTCTTGTTTCTCCCCTTCCCCGAGTGGGCACCCAATGAGCGTAACTGTCGCTCGAAGAGGACAGTTACGCCATGCTCACCAAACCTATTTCCTATTTTTAATAGAACCACGTATATATATATCTAGTACCATGAACCCAGTTACACTTTTTTTTTTCCCGAACGGCACTCTCAACATCTCTTGCTAAGATCGGCCGCTGGCACCGGTTAATTTTTGATCGCGATTAGGCTTAATCCAGACCAAAGTTCTTTGCGATTGAGCCCTTTACGCAAACTGCAGAAGGGAGACAATCATAAGTTTGGAAACTTGATCCCGAGCCGGCTCAATCACGATCATCAGTGCATCGTGTGACACCAGCATCACGTACGAGCACCCACAGAGTTTCCTATAAGTACACTAGAGGCAACTCTGGCGCCCAGTGTCCATCGAAGCTGTAACGCATGGAGCTTCAGCGAGCATGGGAATGATGGGTAGTAAATGGATTAGCCTAGTCCTCGTACTTTACGTCCCGCTTGGCTTCGCACGGCTTGAACCTGTTTTGTCACGAAACAACAATCAGCAAAAGTTTGGCAGTTACGCTTCACCAGCTTAATCTTTTAGGCTGAACAATTCGAATCAGGTCACGACGTTCTAAACGGTTTGTTATTTTCTTCGAAACAAAACATATACACAGCAATGAACGAAGCCACAAATACGGTGTTCTAGAAGATTCTAGAACACTGTACCACAAGGGCGGTTCGAGGCCCTCAGGTACGAAGACTAGGCAAATCCATGTACTACCCATCATTCCCATGGTCGCTGAACGATCACGAAGCCAGAGTCCCCTTTAGTTAATTTGAGGAAACTCTATGCGAGCAACGACAAAACTCACAGGGTCCCTTACACATTAACCTCAGCCGATTCGATGGCGACCGCCACCTTCGTATTTTTTTTCCAAGTCAATCTGTTGGAATCTCCCGCGCCCCTTTCCGAAAGCTTTGCGCAACCAGCGTGGTTTTGCAATGCCTCCAGGATCAGAGGCACTGCAAGCTCTGAGTACCTCCCCTATATATTGCACTTCTCCCGAGATCACCCCACCTTTGACCAAGCAACGATGTAATGGGATGACGTCGCCATACGGCGTCAAGTTATGCGACGTCACGTATTTTGGCAATCTGCGACTCCACCATGACATCATATGGTAACATCACCACGTGATGACGATCTTTTTTGCAGTACTCGTCTTGTCGCCGCCCAGGCGAGACGTCGGTCAGTTAGCGTGTTTTAAAGGTCTGACCAAACGTATCCGTTGCAGCGCGTCAGCGCACGCCTTTTTGACGGAGAGAGAGAGGGCGTGTGGCAGCGCAGCACGCTGTAGCCACGCGCCCTCTCTCTCCGTAGGCGCGCCCTCTCTTTCCTTAGGTGCGCCCAAAAAACTTGGCCCCGCATCTGCATGTTTCACTGCAAATGTCGGCGAAAGACGATAGTCTTGCGTGTGGAGAGAGTGAACAAAACTTTTATTTGACGTTATGCGCGAGAAAATCGGTGAATTGTATTCTGGCAGCGCTGCGTTAGAGATTCTCGATTCGTGCAGCGAAGGCGAACGAGCGCATCGAGGCACGCTAGACACGAGCGCCGTATGTCAGTTATCTTCAAAAACGAAGGAAGGCGTGCGCGCCCGCGGAGAAAGATGCGCGCCTGTCTAGGAGGCGATAAGGTGTAGAACAACGTTACTAGAATAAACTCTAGTAACGCTGGTGTAGAACGCAAAGCGACAGGCAGGTGCCACCACCATGTCGTCTTAGCAAAGCGTTGGCAACACTTGCCTTTTTGAGCCTCACGTTGCACTGTCAGCGCAGCGTGATAAATGCTACAGTCCTTAGAATTACTTATGTATGTCTTCTTTAGTATAAAGACACACAATACAAAATATCGACGAGGTGTAAGGGTGCCTCAGATATGCGCAATAATTGCTTTTTAATTGACAATCGCACAAGTATGAACGCAGAACCTTGAGTAATATTGGTAGGCGCTGGGGATGGGGTTGGCAGTTTGAGGTATCGATTGTGCCGTTTGGAATATCGCTACCGCGAACAAACAGACAAATGTACAGACAGACACCAAAATTTTGGCATCGAAGGTCCCTAAGAATGACTATAGCATTTAAAAGACGCGCGCTGACGCGCTGCAACAGATACGTGTGGTCATATGACTTGAAGCTTTTATCGGTGTCCAGACACACACGTCCGCCACGCATGCGCGCAGTGGTACGTCAACGCATATGCGGGAAGCGCGGCCGCAGGACTCACCGGTCATGGACTCCCTCTTGGCCTTGGCCGTGGCCTTGGCCCCCGCGACGGCGGTGGAGGCGTGCTCGCCGGCCACATGCGCGTCGACGGTCAGCTCGTGGGCGCCGCTGGCCGGCAGCAGGGAACAGGCGCCCAGCTGCTCGCTCAGCGTCTCCACCTTCTCCTTCACTGCATGGAACAAAAAAGAGAAAGAAAGATGAGAGAGATGTCGACATCGCCACGCGTGCAGGCGAATGAATGAAACTTTGGTGTGAGCGCGCGAGAAAGGCCGAAGCTGCAGGTATGGTATACAGCCTTGAGCATTAGAGAGAAAGAAAATCCTGGAGTGCAAAATCTCGCAACGCTTTACCGCACAAAGGTGAAGCAAAGGTGAAGCAAAGGTGAAGCAAAGGTGAAGCAACGGCTTGCGCCTGTTTTGTCTCATCGGCTTGTACGGTTGTGCCTGCTATAAGAGATAAGGTGCATTTGCTCTGCTAATGCAAACGCTAGGTTAATACCAAAATGACAGATCCTTGTTGCCGGCGAAAGTAACTTATCGAGATGAGTACTGGCGATGCGATTTCTAATAAAGTGCCTATATTCTCATGTTTTTTTTAATTAAGGAAACGTAAATGAAGCAAGCTCAAGCCGTTTAAGAAGACGACGACAGACTCCATGCCAGGGAAACTGGGAGGGGGGGGGGGACTGATTAAGTAGTTAGAAATGGTGGCTTGAGGAGCAATGCCTGTTTATTATGTGCGGTCCTGTAACATAAAGTAAAGCAGAAGTTCAAAGGACGATAAAGAAGTGAAGAGATGACCCATTTATAAACACGGTATGTCGCTGGGGCCGAGGTTGGGACAAGCGGCCTTGTCTGCTCCAATGATGCAAATGTTTCAGTCTGGAAGAAGGCAAACCCGCTTGTCGAAACGTTGGCTGTATAGCGACATCCGTGTACTGTATTTAACAACATTAGTACTACAAAGACACATGTCGAGCACGTATCTCTCTGGAAAAATTAACCTTTAGCTCCTAAGGCACGTGAGGAAAACACTGCTTTTCCTTCGCTAAGTATGCGCTAAAGTTTTACCTCGTCACTAAAAAGACGGTGGATTCTTCGCTTCACTATTGAAGTATAACTAGCACTCAAGCTATTTTTTTGAATTATCCTCGACATACACAAACGAAACCACGCGCCCACACATTCAGGACAGACAGACAAACTTATAAGTGGCGGTATTCTATTCAGGATGTCGTAACTTCTAGCGTTATTCGGCCATCATGTCCGGTCTGCGCTGCCTCACTGCATGCATGCAGGTTACTGTGCCCTTGAGTGACTAAAAGCGAGGAAACAAAGTCTAATCTGGCAGCGCCCAAAATAAAGCACTCGGGCGATGACTTTCGGGAACATTGAGGTAAATCAATTTCGCGACGAGTCGGTGGGTTCTCTGGTTTAATTTCACCCACTGGTGGGTATTTACCGTGTATTTCGTTTATTTACAATGAACCTGTCATTCTTCAGCATCAGTAAGTTCACCGACAAACACCCTCGATAAGCTACCGCGAGCGCTCGCGAGCATAACGCCAGCTGTTATACTGAACATCTTAGCTGCGGCAGCGTGCCCTAAATCCTTGTCACGAAAGTGCCTGCTGAAACAGCCACGAGTTAGCGTTGGCGTCTTTTCCCATTTTTCAGCTTGCACCAGCCAAGTGTCGTGCATTTTTCTTTTCCACATTCGCAGTAATGAGGAAAACTTACAGCGGGATCTGTCGCTTTGATTGATTTGATTGGTTAATATGCGGAGTTTAACGTCCCAAAACCACCACATGATTATGAGAGACGCCGTAGTGGAGGGCTCCGGAAATTTCGACCACCTGGGGTTCTTTAACGTGCACCCAAATCTGAGCACATGGGCCCACAACATTTCCGCCTCCATCGGAAATGCAGCCGCCGCAGCCGGGATTCAAACCCGCGACCTACGGGTCAGCAGTACGTTAGCCACTAGACCACCGCGGCGGGGCGCGGGATCTGTCGCACACAGTATGTCTGGAGCTAAAGCTGCTCGCACGCAACTTAGCACTGTTCATACGGCAACAATAGCTCGAGCTGGAAAAAATTAAGCTTCACGTGTTGAGAACCGAACGTCACGCAGCGTCATTTCACTCGAACGTTGCGTTGCACAACAGCGAGGCGAGCAGGAGCATCCTATCTGTGACGTCACAACGATCGCAGCGCCGGCCTCTCCAGTGGAGGCTCTCACGGTCAATACTCACTCTGGGTTGCGAGTAGATTTGTAGTGAATGATTGGTATACGCGAGGGTTTAACGTCCCAAAGCCACCATATGATTATGAGAGACGCTGTAGTGGAGGGCTCCGGAAATTTTGACCACCTATGGGGTTCTTTGACTTGCCCCCGAATCTGAGCACGGGCCTACAGCATTTCGCCTGCATCGAAATTGCAGCCACCGCAGGCGGGATTCGATCCCGCGACCTGCGGGTTAGCAGCCGAGTACCTTAGCCACTTGAAACCACCGCGGGACTAGATTTGAAAGGAAAGTAACACATAATTGACGTTTCCCCGTCGCTGCGGCTGCCTGCCGACAAACATGATTTATTCTGGCCTTGCATCACCATTACCTGACAGGTTTCCGTCAGTCATTTCATTGTGCCCATCTTAAACTTATACCTTGCCCGTGAACACTGGAAAATAACAATAGATATGTATGCTCGTATATTTCGCCTTCTAACGCAGCCTATGTATTCAGCTCTATAGGTCAAGCGCCCAGTGCCTCAGCGGACTTCACAAGGCTGCTGTCAGGCTGCGGTACTTTACTATAATTCGTTTTTTGTTTATTGAGACACGTTAAGGGTCTCATAATGTATTGATAAAGGAAAGGTACAGTAGAGGGGAGGAGGGTAAACAAAACGAAAATTGAGCATACACCCCCCCAACATGTATACATGCCACAACACCTCTGAATAATAACGCTTTCCCTTCCCTCCCTCTTTTAACATGACACGCGACACGAACGCGCAGCAAAGTGCCTTCATTATGCATACCGCACGACCACGAGAGTGCACGCACATGCGCAGTTTAACACGATAGGCGGGAATTATCAAGTATCTGGGTTACAAGGGCAGGAATCGATTACGTCCCGCACGTGCATCGGGGAGAGAAAACGCGACGCGTTAATAATAGAGCGCCCTTGTAAGCAGTCAAATACTCTCTCGGGACTTTGTGGAGCTGTGGTGGCAGCTGTGTCGTGCGTGCGTGCAACCGTTGCGGAGACAAAACGACGAAAGAAGCCATCGAATCGGAAAACGGGTGTCGCTGCAGGTATTTTGACCGAGGCTCAAAAGTAAACAGGCTTGGCGTGGCTCATCGCGACGCCTCTGGGCCGTCGTGAATATTTCATGGGATCGCGGCAAAATCCCTGCACTATAGTATTTCTGCCGCTTCAATGCACTTTTTTTTGTCTATGTGCACATACTGCCATTGCGGCAGCTACACAACGTCGAAACACCTGCGCTTCGTTGCCATCGTCGCCATAATCGTCGCCATCGATTCGCTCACATAAGCCACGACAAGTGATAATAAACTACAGCGAGCGATGCGACGTGCACCTGTTTGAAAGCAAAGTATAAACACGCGAACCTGACGCACATCCAACAATGAGAGAGAGAGAAACTTTTCGGGTTGGAATCGCGGCTCGCACGCATTGCATACGCAGGTGGAATTCAATATGTGGGATGTAGCTCGACTGTGTAGCTTCAGTGTAGCTCAACTGTGTAGCTTTCAGTGTAGCTCGACTAAGCGTCGAGCTACACTGAAAGTTAAACGCACCTCACTCACGAAACCGAGCGCGAAGACGGCTACAACACGAGGTGTATACGCTAGCAATGTAAAGTATGCTACATTGCTATAACCTTATATAGTCGTTAAGGTTGATGTCCCGAAGCGACTTATATATATATACCACCTTATGTAGTGACCGTCCGAACGGAGAGCGGCTGTTGTGCAATTCAGCACATGAAAGCTGCCGATCTGTTCAATCGCGACAAGTTCGTATAAAATCGTTTCATAACAGCGTTGAATTCTAGAGGAACGCTGTTTGAGAAGGTTACGCGACAAAGGCTGCGCCGCACTGAATTCACGGTTGTCCAATTCTCGATCCGCAATTGACTCATTTGTGTCGGTGCGACTCGAGGCCGCTCAGAGCCTCGTCATTCGGAATGGATGCCACGTATAGTGGCGTTCATCGTATTATAGTTACCGTCACCGGCGTGAGCAGGGTTTTTCATCAAGGGACAGACCGTCGTACCGAGCTCAACATTTCGTTTCGTTTGCGTTCAGATTGGGAACGCCCAAGGCAGACCATGCAACCCAACATGGCGTTTCAACAGAAAGGCCTTCTACTCTGCCTACACCTAGCTTATCAGCAGTGCTCAATGAAGGCCGTAGCAACCACAGCTCATAGCTATTCTGTAGCCCACCGTAACATATAAGCTCGCCTAAATTACATTGTCGAAACTACCTGCCTCGGGTGCAGCGCTGCGGCACCATGGAGTTGCTATACGGCAGACCGCTGACAGTCGCCAAAGTGCACAACTGTAAGAAAGAAAGAAAGAAAGAAAGAAAGAAAGAAAGAAAGAAAGAAAGAAAGAAAGAAAGAAAGAAAGAAAGAAAGAAAGAAAGAAAGAAAGAAAGAAAGAAAGAAAGAAAGAAAGAAAGAAAGAAGTGATGGGGCTAGAGAACGAAGACTGTAATGAAGACCGAATAAAAACTAATGAGAAAAATATAACTAAGAAGGGAAGAAAGACGGAAAGACGACGTTGAATGCCATGAAGTCGATGCTTTCGCTGATTAAGCACCTTTTTAATAAGACCAGGACGGCTCGACGGCTTCGCAATTTGAAAAGAGGGGACGACAAATATTGTGTTCCCTGCGCAACGTTTGCTGAGCTCATTTCCAAACTGGCTACTGTTTTCAAGCTGATCAGCTTTAAATAGGAAGTGCAACAGATCAAAACATAAACTTATTTGACAAGATCCTGCCTGGACCATACCGTGACAAGGCCTTCCGTGTCTCTGTAACCCCTGTTCGCCGCTGTAGTCAGCTCGTTTGTGCGACCTATTGCGGTGTTCCACAGCACGATTGAGTTCCTCCCTCTCCCCTTTCTCCTTATAT